GACTAGCAATGCTGAGGTTAGGCGTAGAGTTCCCTTTGAATTTGCTTCGACGTTCCCATCTTCATTTCGCTATTTTATCCAAATGGGCAACCAAAAGACAGCAACCAAAACCCGCGCACGAAAGTGCATGGTTAATGGTTGTAAAACTGAACTGAATCTAGGGTTTTCAATTGAAAAAATAGCAATCACAACTGCGGAGACCAAGAACGAAATATAACAACACAGCTCATCAGTGAAGAAGCATCCAAAATGTGACACGACCTTTAAAGTTTTTCTCTCCCCTTCCTTTTTTATAACCACAATGCCGCTGTGCATAATCTTCAGGCACACACGATTCCTTCACTCATGCAATCAACAAACATAGTCCGCCTTCAACAGACGCGCCGATCTACCAAATCGTATCCAAACTGCCCAATGTGATCGGTGGCTCTATCTTGTGCAATTGGACTGTCACACAAAAGCTGGACATTCAGAGCCAATTACTGGCCGGGATTCGTTATTTGGACTTTCGTGTGGGCGTGAAAAAGTACTCGAATAATCAATCCGGATACGAGTTCTATTTGGTGCATGGTCAGTGTGCTAACACGTTGGCCGAGGAGTTGCAAAATGTTGCCGAATTTCTGTCTGATCATCCGCGTGAAGTCGTATTGATTGATTGCAATCACTGCTACGATTTCAAAACTCCCGAACAGATCTCAGATTTTGAGAACTTGGTGCTGAAAGTGAGTCCTATAGTCGCACTCCACATGATCTCCGTCCTCCATGGTGTGACTAACGAAACCGTTTTTGGTATATTGGTACCCAGCTGTACACAATCACTTCCTCGGTAATCCTACAAAGTTACCACTGGTGAAACTTTTTATTCTTCAACGATTTGATTTTCTCACTAGACAGATTACCGTCTCCGGTGCACAGAAAATATGCTCGAGATTTAAGTGCATTGCTACCTCTTAATCAACTGAATCTTTCAGTCGTCACGCGACAGTTTCTCTTTTTTTATTCAAAGCTCCTTGTGAAACTATTTGATTTTCTCATTACTGTAGTTCTTGCAGAAGTTGTAATAAATCAGTTTTAAGTATAGCTGTAACGCGTTTGTCTGCCCAAATCACAGAATGTTATGTGTTACCTCAATCCACTTTGCCTCAAAATGCATCATATTGTCTCAGAAACCATTTCCATGTAGATCTACCGTTCGTAATCACTAGGTTTTGAGTTGCTGCGGTGCGAGTAAATCTTCGTTCTCTGTCACCTAAAGTTTTTTAACCCCTTCTTGGTCGTTAACCCAATCAAAATTAAGGTGAACTACAGGTATTTCTCGACGGGTATATATATATATATATATATATAATTTTAGTTCGCACACGCATGGATCCAGACTGTGTGCCAAACAAATCATGGTATAATAATCTTTATGTAAAAGAAAAACCTTCCATGATTTGCCTGTGGGCTGAATACTGCCCGGTTGCTCAGGCTAAGGCAGGTGAATTTTCTTGAGGAATCCACAATCGGAATCCATTGAGGGCTGGGGTCCAGTTCATCGGATCATACGCCCTTTGGTGGTTGGTTCACCTCTTGGTTGGTTTGGAATTAGGGCTTTTGGCCAACTCCCCTATGTGAATAACTAGTGGTCCGCCAACCAGTTATAGCCCCGGATATCGGCTTTTCATCCTCTCACTTGGGTGGGAAAACACCTCTGTCACGAGAGGGCAGTGAGTAGGGCTTCTTCAGCAGATGCTGTTTGAGACGCTTGATCATGTGGGAGCATTTCGCGAGGTGCAAGGAAAGGGTGACTAGCCGCAACCGTTGTCGATCACCCCCGAGCATATTGCTACACACACACATATATATATATATATATACATATATACATTTCCTGGGTACAAGTATATGAATGGACTGACAAAAGGTT